ATTTATTTATTTATTTATTTATTTATTTATTTATTTATTTATTTATTAACTTACTTATTTACTTATTTTTCAAATTTATATAGCTGCCCATCTCATATATAGGACTTCGAGAGGCTGACAAACAATTAAAAGCAAAACAAAAAATAAAATAGAACTATTTAAAAAAAACACAAGAGAAAATAATATAAAAGCATACTAAAAAAAAATCGTAGCTGAGGTAATCACAGCTGACACTCAATACAGCCACTGTGCTAGTTAGGTTACATTCCCTGGTCCCCACGCCCGTTGGCAAAACCATATTTTCAGGGTCTTTTGAAAGGCCAGCAGGGTTGGGGCCAATCTAATCTCCAGGGGGATGATGTTCCACAGGACAGGCGCCACAGCAGAAAATGATGCCTTGGAGCATTGTTTCTCAACCTCAGCAACTTCAAGATGTGTGGACTTCAACTCCCAGAACTGCCTTAGAGAGAGGGCTCTTGTTCAACCCTGCCTCTCAAACAGGGAGTGCTAGTGATCCTTCCAGATCTGAGGGACCAGTAACCACCCAACCCACATAAAATTAGGTAAATGTGGTAACATAGGTGTGGAGAGATGGAAGGGCTCTTAGAATGAGGTTTCCTAGGGACACTAAGAGTGGAGGTGCCATGAGATGAAACTGAGCAGCCTTGGCAGAGAAGGATGCCAGGATTAGCAAGCGGTGGGTGGAGGGGACAAAACAGAGTCAGGACGGGTTCTTGTGGGTTGGCATTGTGGCTTATCAGTCCCAGAGGACCACGCCTTTTTCTTCTCCTCCTCCTTTCATCTGCCTTTTCCTTTCAGGTTCAAAGCTATCAAGGGGGGTGGAATGGGGGGAAGCAATTTCTTGGGGATCAAGGGGGGGATTAGGTGTGATGTGGCTTGTTTTGGTGTCTCTTGGCAGCTCCCAGTGCTGGCTGAGGGGGTTTCCGTGCAGGGAGGAGAAGAAGCTAGCTAAGATTTGGGGCCTGCAGAAACCTGCCCCCTTTGAAGGGGGCTTGGAATCCCCCCCAGGCTTGGAGAAGGGGGGGAGGGAGTGGCCCCAGGTGGTACCTGAAATAGTGGTGCATATTGGGGAGGGGGATGAGAAGGAGACTGTGGAGGCATCAATCATACCTTGACTACAAAAGCTTCTGTGAACACTCAAGCATAGAAAAATCCAGACTTTGAAATGCAACCAAGTCCCTCAAATGCTGAGGCAAGCTCCAGAACTTGCCCCTTGCAACCACTCTCACATTCCTTGCCAGTAGCACAGCACGCAGGTAGCCACATGGGAGGGTGTACAAGTGCATACAGGCACTCACGGGGGTGGGGGGAGAGGGGAGAGAGGAAATTGAGTCACCGTTACTAAATAGGCAGGTAATCTGTGACCCTGGAAAGTTTGCAGGACTGCAACTCCCACTTTCTTCCCCATTGGCCATGCTGGCTAGAGCTGGGGGGAGTGGGAGAGCTGCAACACGTGAAGGCTGGCAGCTTCCTTGCATCTCTTTGAATAATTAGCCATTCTTCTGGAAGCTGGACAGATGGGAAGAGCTCATCCCAGGAAAAGGATTAATGGTGAGTGTATCCCCTTCACCATTAAGCATCTCTTGCCAACCAACTTAAACTTACAATATCTT